ATATATATATATATATATATATATATATATATATATATATATATATATATATATATATATATATATATATATATATATATATATATATATATATATATATATATATATATATATATATATATATATATATATATATATATATATATATATATATATATATATATATATATATATATATATATATATATATATATATATATATATATATATATATATATATATATATATATATATATATATATATATATATATATATATATATATATATATATATATATATATATATATATATATATATATATATATATATATATATATATATATATATATATATATATATATATATATATATATATATATATATATATATATATATATATATATATATATATATATATATTTATCATTTATAAATGATCATATTTTTATTTTCAACTCAATTTATGAAATTTTGAGAGCACGGTCTAATGATACTTTTAATTAAAATGAAAATATGAGACCATGATTAGAATTTTAGTAAGTTATAACAAATACTAGATAAAAATTTAATATTTTATTTACAAACTTAAATAGTATACGATTAGATATTAGGTTTGAGTTTAACCTGTTCAAAAAGATACATTTCCAAGGTTTATATTTGCCAATTTCAATTTTTTTTACACAAAATCCAAATGGTCGCCAAAACAAGGTGATTTAAAAGAATATCCTTATAGGTAGTTCATAGTTGATTTTGAACTTTTGATTTCACTCGACGTAAAATTTTAAATTCAACTTTTAATGAAAAGGATTTTAAATTTGAGGGGACGGAATTGGTTAAAATTGTTCAAAAATTATGACGTGACTATTCTATATCAATTTTATCATATTCAAGATAATCAAGTTTACCATGTCTTATACCCAATCAAAGTAACTACTCAAAATCAACACACTTGATCAACCACAAAGGAATCACACTAAATTTGAGTCACTATTTCAAGTTATCACCAGACTTTTCGAGATACCTAAGACCTTTCTCGAAAAATCATTTGAATCCTTATCCTTAAATTTTTTAAGTGTGGTTTTAAAATAAAGATTTGAAAATTTATGCATGGGTCAAGCGGATGCTATAATTCGTCTAATGTAAGTTTCGAGCTATAAAAGGGACATTCACATAAATCGATCAAATCAGATGTCTCGGAAACAAACCCGGCCCTAGACTACCAAAGCCCACTAATCAGCCCAAATTGCTTCCCTCCTCCAACATAAATTGAAAAAAAACCCAAACAAAAAAAATTGGAGGGAAAATTTTTCAGGGAAAACAATGAGCAGAAGACGCCACCAAATCATCTGTTCCTCCGACGAAGAAGAGGACGGCGACGACGAACCTCAGCAACTCGCCGGCGGCAATGAAGAAAATGAAAATCCTAACAACATAGAAATGGAAATTCTAGAATCGTCTACTAACTTCGAATCAGTAACCCTAAATTCTCCCATCCAAAACCCTACACCTAATCATGAGCCAAACATCGACGTTTCTGAAGTTATACGAGCTGCGGATTGTGGTATTGGTCGGGTATTGGAAGGATTAGGGTTAAGATTGCGGAGGGAATGGTTAGAATCATGTGTTGGAGGACTTGAAGGATCAGTAGTAGGAGGGTTTTCTGGATTGGATGATACGACGAAGGCAAAACTTTGTTTCGAGCAGTTTTTGTACTCGGATATGAATTTTTGTGGTGCAGGATTGCTTCCAAGGGACGTGCACAAGCTGCATTTGGTTGATCTTAAAGGACCCTTTGTTCTTCAGGTATAGTAAAAATCTAAATGCTGATGAAGTTTATCGCTGTTGTGGGTTCAATATGTAATTTTGTTAAAAAAAAATTAAAGCTTTATCGGCGATGAGGTGCTCCCCAGCTAGTACAGGGTAGGGGAGAGTGGAAGTAAGGAAAATTGGGAATACCCCTCATCTCATACTGCTCTCTTGATGCAAAATCTAAAAATTTAGGGAGGGAAACAATACAAAAGTTATTTACACGGAATCCAAAGTGACATGCTATTATCACTTACTCTTGAGGGCCACCAGTGCTAGATGTTTGATAATTTCTCCTCCTACATGAATATACAGTACGTAGTCTTTCTCTTGCATTTTTGCATGGAGGTTGTTTTAGTGCTTTGAAATCGGTGAGTTACCATGGAGCAACTTGCTGGGGTGTAGTACATTTGCAAAACACATTGGTGATACTAAAAAAGCCGAAGTTGTTTGTTAATTTGTCTTTTATAAATTGAATTAGTTCGACTTTCATGTTTGTAAATGGAAGGCTATGACTTGACATCTTAGTTAAGTTTTGTTTGAAGTAACTTTATGAATCATTTTAGTTGCATTTCTTTATAATGGAAGTACCTATGTGAATCTTGACTTCAATAACTTATTTAGTTATCTAATACATTGGTTTATCACAATATAAAGCTGGATGGAAGACAATATCTAATATGGGTAACCAAAAGGGACGGGGCTTCTTTAAATGTGCATTGAGGAGAATTTATATATTTTAGTTTTGTTATGTTTTGAGGAAGAAATTTCTTAAAGAAAGCTCAATATTCACATGGATGAGTAGCTTATATTATTTTCTTGTTGATGAAAGTAGCTCATAATTTCGTGAACTTCTTAGAACTATTTGGGAAGGCATTTCAGGAATTGGGTTTGCTGAGAAAGAAGTTGGAAACAGGCATCAGTTAGTTTTGATATTAAAGAGCTTCTATTGTTTTCTCCTTTTTCTCCTCTTATTTATTTGAAACAAAGTATAGTTTCTTCTTTGTAACATTAAAACTTAAGTGCCAAATCAGAAAGTTGTGGAGTGATCAAGAAAACTTCATTACTTTCTGCAAGCAGTTAGTCAACAGAAAAGTTCCAAATTTATTAAAAAATGTTGATCTATCCCCTCAAAAAAGAAGCAATCGGTGAGAAGAGGCTCATTCATGTTCTTGGGTTTGAAAATCAAAGTTCATTCGCTTAATTTCTTTCATAACAGTTGCTTACTGAAACCATTTTGGAAAGGTTGGTCGTTAAATATGACACTTCTTGCAATTAGCTTTAATGTACCAGAAACTTCCTTAAATTTGGTCAACCTATACCTTTAATGTGACTCTGACTATTCGAGTGTTTCATCCCCTTCTCCCTCAAGGTAGATGAAATTGTGAATATCAGTTGTCCTCTTCAAGATAGGTATCAGAAAGCAGCTGCTGGAATAAAGAGGTGTCTGAAATTGTCCATGACTGATGGCATTCAGCAAGTGTTTGGGATGGAGTACAGGCCTATAAAAGATCTCGATGTTCTGGCTCCTTCTGGACTGAAGGTATATTTAAGGAGTACCAATTAGCAATTACCATGTTGTTTATTAGTTTGTCAAGTAGCTTTTAAAGTCTTATTTACAAGATGAGAATTGATAAGAATAGTATTTGTCACAAAACTTTTTCCATATTCATATAGATTGCTGCTGCATTTTGCAGGTTGCTATCTGTAATGTTCATGTTAGGCATGGAATTCTGATGTTGGTCCCTGAAGTTATTGAAGTTCTGGGTGGGATGGTGGAAGAGTTAGAAGAAGCAAGGAAGCGGCTAGTTAATGAAATAAATAAGCCACCAAGGGGGAAAAGGTATGACGAAGGACCAAGAAAACATTTACTGTCTGGACCTAATTACCAAATTCTGATATTGTTTGTAGATGCCTTATACAAGTGTTGTATTCACTTGAATGGCAGAGGTTGATGGTCA